CTTACAAAAGGGAACTTTATATCTTTCTTATGTCTCTTTTGGGGGTGAAAGACTGAATATAGAAATTAAGGATAAATTGTAGATGTGAGATTAGTTAAGTTTGTTTTTTCTTTCTAAATGCTAGGCTTAGCCAAGTTGGCTAGACTAAGTGTACTCCCCTCTAGATCTGAGTTTGAATTCTTCTCTTGTAGTTTGGATAAATTTAATATAAAATATTACTTGTAAATAAAAAATATTACTTGTAAGGATTAATCGGAATTGTTAATTAATTAAAGTTATTCTTGATGGATGCTTGTGCGAATTACTTTTGATATCAAATATATATAAGTGGAGATTGTACCAGGTGACAACCTTTATAATTATTCTGGTTAGTAATAGAAAATCGCTTTTATTCTTAGTACAAAAATTCATATTCGTTTGTTTGTGTTTGTGTGATTCAACATCTTGAGAGAGATACCCAATATTAATTAAGCTGCACAAGAAGAAGCTAGCCTGAAATTTCAAGTATGGCGTTGAAGAGAAATATGAGTTTGCTTTTACCTTGATTTCCTACACCAAACCTCTGATTTATTTTTTTATTATTATTTTTTTTTTCAATTCATGATATTTCTATCTCCAAAAAGATTTTGAAGATATTTGAGAGAGTGTGTGTCATTTTCTTTCGTTGGACTGATAAGACGTGGTTAAGTATATTCCATCACCTTGAGTTCGCACAAATTGACAACAAAGGCTACCTTACAAATGGCTTTTCTTTTGTGCTGACTATATACGGGACCATTCTTGCAAAATCATCTACAGGAATCATTATCTTAAAACCACACAAATTAAATACCCCTTCATTACATACCTCTCTAAGGAAAGAGTACAAAACAACTTTATTAAATTTCGCATCATTGCTGCTTAATTTGGTGTAGATCATTACGATCATGAAAATGCGCTATTATCTTCTTTGATCCCATTGTGGAAGATGCTTTCGCAAACCCTAAAAACCCACCACACATCTCGTCCCATACATTACAATGTTACATTTTCCTAATTGAAATTATTTTCTTTCAAGATTTCGTAATGAAACGTTAACATCTTTCGCTAGAATATTAAATAACCAATCAGATGCACCATTTGGATTAACAAACCAAACCATCAAGTGAACCGCTCTCTATTACATTAACAAGGAGCAGAGGAATTCTCAACTGACCCCATATGTTTGGCTGTCTAAACTACATTGAAGACAATGCCATCAATAGTTTTCATTTCCCAGTTCTTCCCGGAGCATCCTGTCTCATATGCTTTCTCAAACATATATACTTATTTGACAATTTTTTTATTTTTTATATACAAGCTAATAGCGGAGAGGAGAATTGACCTAATAATGACCTCTCGTGCAAAGTTAAATATTCTTGTGTAACATTCTTATGTGCAAATATTTACAATCTTGGCCTTGGAAAATGTTCATAAGCAAAGAGAGCAGACACTTTTTCTTCATCATGCTTTAAAAAGAAAGCAGATCTAGAATTTAAAAGCTGTATGATTAAAATTAATTATTGGCCTTCATTTTCAAGACTTTTTCATGATAGAAGACAACAAACAAAATTAATTTGAATAAATCAATCAGATAGACAGAGAGAAAACCAGTTTGGTTGAATTTATGTGTGGGGCAGTTCTTGATTGATCTCACATTATCTAAGCCTCTATCTACCAAAAAGAAGATCCTGCCGATGCTAAAGGTAGGTTGCAGCCTGAGTTTATTTGTTTTGGCTGGTAGAGTGAGTTTTGATGATAACCGAATGACCTAATTCGAATGGTTTTTTATTTTGAGGATTGCAACTTAGCAATTCTATTACCGTGAAGAGTAATAATGTCAGACTGTAAAAGAAAATGGCTTTTCACTATTAATAAAATTAACGTAAATTACATTTTAGCATCTCAATTTTAGGTCACATAATTAACAAATCCATACATCATTTGTTGAACATTGCAATACTATACATCAACTTACTAATTCGTTGCGATGCCAAATCTCCTTCTCCATGTCCGTCAATTTGTGTATTAATTGCTGACACATCAAGCGCGGGGCCACTCTCTCGCCCAATTGGAACACTGAGCTCAAAACAGTCATGGAATTAGGGTTTGTGAGTGAAAGAATTGCAGAAAGCAGAGAGTTGCAGAGATAAAAGAATAGCAGCTGAAGGTTTCTTTTTCTCATTAAAAGGTAATGAAATAGTACATTTTACTATTTATAGTAGTTACAATATCATCCTTATCTGATAACTACCAAGCTTACAAAGTAAGCAACCTCTTATACTAATGACGCTTGGCACTATCTCTATCGTACACTTGGCAATTTTGTTATAAGCCTCTGTTATTACCCCCTTCAAGCTTAACCTGGATCAGCAAGGTTAAGATTGATACAATGTTGTATGAAAACTGGGTTGTTAAGACCCTTGGTGAGAACATCAGCAACCTGTGCCTTAGTAGACACATAGTGAACCAAAAGATCTCCTTATTGAACTTTCTCTTAAACGAAATAGAAATCAGTATCAAGATGTTTGATACAAGAAGAAAAATAGGATTAGTACTAAGAACCAATGCAAAAACATTATCACAATTCAAACTGGGAGGTGAAGGAACACAGACATGAAGATCTCTGAGCACATTGCGAATCCAACAAACATCAGTTGCACAATGAGCAAGAGCTTTATACTTAGCTTCAGTAGAGCTATAAGATATGGAAGATTGTTTCTTTAATTGCCAAGAGATAGGATTGCATCCTAGATAAACTACATAACCAGTTATAGATCTCCTTGTAGTGATATCAGCGACCCAATCAGCATCAATATGTAGAAATGTTGGTATCAGATGAAGCATGATAGGTTAATCCACAGTTGACAGTACCTTAAAGATATCACAAAATTCTTTTAACTAAGAAAATATGAGTTTCAGTAGGATTTTGCATATATTGACACACAATATTGACAAAATAAGATATATTAGGACGTGTAAATACCAAGTACTGTAAAGGTCCCACAATGCTTATGTAAAATGTAGGATCTTCAAGAGGAGTACCTTCTGCAAAAAGTAATTGAGTGTGAGGTTTGGATGGAGTAGAGGTAGCTTTACAATGTTCCATCCCAGCCTTTTTTATTAAGTCTTTGATGCATTTGGACTGATGAACAAATAGATCACCATTATCTTTATACTAACTTGAAGACCAAGGAAGTAAGTCAGTTGTCCCATATCCTTTAATTCAAACAATTCTGCAAGTTTATCGACAACTTGTTGCACTTGAGCAGTGTTAGAACCTGTAAGAAGCCATCAACATAAAGAATGAGAATCACCACAATGGTTTCATCAGACTTGACAAACAACCTAGTGTCTAATTGAGCAGAAACATATCCTAGAATTGGTAAAACTCCTGTGAATTTGGAGTGTCAAGCTTGAGGAGCTTGCTTTAAACCATATAAAGATTTAATCAACTTGCAAACATAAGTAGGATTATGAGAATCAACAAAGCCCTGAGGCTGATGCATGTAAACTTTTTCTTGTAAATCACCATGCAAAAATGCTTTTTTAATGTCCAATTGTCTAAGTTGCCAACGATTACTAGTAGCTAAAGCAAGAACAAGTCTCACAGTAGAGTGTCGAACAACCGGGCTAAAAGTCTCAGAGTAGTCAATGCCATGCTTTTGAGTAAAGCCTTGAGCTGCAAGTCTAGATTTATATCAAGCTACACTACCATTTGGATTTTTTTTAAGTTTATAAACCCATTTGCAACCCACAACAGACCTATGAGAAGGAGAATGAACCAAATCCCAAGTGCCTTGAGACTTCAAAGCATCAAACTCTTCATGCATGGCCTTTTGCCAATGAATATTGGAAGATGCACTTCTAAAGTTCTTAGGTTCATCTAAATCAAAGACTTGTGCCAACAAAGAATACCTAGAAAAGCAATAAGATTCAAGTTCAATGTGCAAAGATTGCAACTTAGGCAAAGAAGCAAGATAAGCAGTATAGTCTTTCCTTGTAATTGCGCCAGTTTGTAACCTTGTTTGAATAACAGTTCTAGATATATCAGAATTAGAAACCTCATTTTCAGAAGATGATGAACATGAGGAAAAAGGAAGGACTACCTGAATTGGTGCAAAATTGTGGACAGGTAACAGGGAAAAATGATCCTGAGGAGTAGCCACATCATGAGTTGAAGAGGACAATGTTTCAGATTCCTGACTAGGAAGAGCAAAATTTGAACTAGGAATTGATGCTAACATAGAGGTACTTTGAGAAGTGGAGCTTGAATCCTCATAAGTGATTTGAATGGCCGAAATTGGGATAATAACTATAATTGGATAAGCAACCTGAGTAATAGACTGTAAAGAAAGCTTAGATTGTTGTAATTGTCTTGTTAATTTTGCTGGAAAAATGGTCTCATCATGGAGAACATGTCTAGTAATCAACAATTTCTGAGCTTGAAAGTGGTAACAAATAACACCTTTGTATCTAACTGAATAACCAAGAAATACACACAGTGTGGACTTGGATTACAGCTTATTCTTGTTTTATGCTCGCAGTACCAAAAATTCTCAAATGATGCAACTCAGGTGGCTTCTTGTATAATGCTAAAAACGAAGAATTCATATGCAAAGATTTGCAAGACATTCTATTTATAAGATAAACTGCATGCACACAAGCATGAAACCAAAACTCTTGAGAAAGACCTGTTGAAGAAAGTAAGGTGATGGTTGTCTCAATAATATATTTGTGTCTTCTTTCCACAAAACCATTATGTTGAGGTGTATAGGGACAAGAGACTATGTGGAACATCTCATTTGAATCCAAAAAAGCCTTAAATTGCTTACTAATGAATTCACCACCCCATCAGATTGAAAGCATTTGACACGAATACCAAATTGTATTAAAATAAAATTGTAAAAATTCACGAACACTGAAAACACATCTGATTTATTTCAAAGAGGAAAAATCTATACAAATCTTGTATTGTCATCCACGAAGGTTACATAATATCGATATCCTTCAATGGACATAGTTGGAGAATGACCCCAAATGTTAGAATGGATTTTCTCAAAAAGAAACAAACTCCTATTAGATTCAGCAGGAAATGGCAACCTAGACATTTTACCACAAATACAATCTGAACACACATGATATACATCATCTACTACATATGAAATCTTAGACCTATCCAACATAAAGGACAAGACTTCATTGGTAGGATGACCCAACCTCTGATGCCAAAGTGAAAACTTGATCTGTTATCCCAGATAAGTAGAAGTTACAAAAGATTGTGAAGGAAAATGCATTAACTTGACATCAGGAATTTGAAACAACTCATGTGACCTACTCTTGCCCTTATAAAGGATTTCCTTGGTTACCTTGTCCTGCACATAAAACCAAACATCATCACAAATAAACCAACATTTATTATCCTTGCACAACGGCTTAACAGAAAGCAAATCTTCAGTTATTTGTGGAACATGAATAACATTAGACAATTTAAGTATACGAGAATGAGGTCGTATGATAAGAGGTCCCTGTATCAACAATCTAAACATCATGAAGATTAACTTGTTAGGTAGTCATGGCACTAAGAGATAAAGATGGATGAACTGATGCTAGAAAACCATTGGAAGAAGATGGCTAATATGAATAATCTTCCTGAACTTAAAGATAAGGTGGTGGAGGAGCTTCTTGATATGCAAAGTTACTGTGATGATAGCATTCCATAGCTATATGCCCACATTTGTCATAGATTTAACATCCGGACAAGTTAGAATTGGAATTGGAACTTCAATAAAACAATTTGAAGCTGTATGGCCTCTGCGCTGACAAATTTGACATTTAAGTTGCATATTGAACCTTGAATCAATATTCCCAGACCATTGTTGTCTAAACCCAGAATTAGAATTCCTACCCTTGTTGCATGACTTAAATCCACCTTTTTGCTGACCATCATTATTAATTCTTTGATTATAAAATGGTCAAGGGCCATTGTTGAAACTAGGAGGAGTGCTACTAGTATAACCATAACCAAAACCATATGGAAGTGGAGGTGATGGTTGTGCTTGCTGGAACATAGGAGGTGGTGCTGGAGGAGGTTGAAAATGCTGAGATGGAACTTGACTAAGCTTAAATGATGATGTTGAAGTAGTACTTGAGTTACCGTGCCAACAATAACTGAAGAAATACCATAATTGAAATTAGACTGAGAAGAATAACCAGTAGTCCTCCTTGAGAAGATGACGAACCTTGCAAATACATAACAGCCATGGAATGAGATTGAGTATTTTCCATATTGTCAATATCTCTCTCTGTATTCAGAAGTCAAACCTTGAATTCTTTAAGAAAAATATATGTTTCTCGAGCCAAAATTACAGTCCATATTATTGCATATTCTCTAGGTAAACCTGCTAGAGCTGCAATTATCATATCATTATCAGACACTACCTCTCCAGCAGCAATAAGCTGATCTCTTATGAATTTGAGCCGAGATAAAAACTTGTCAATTGAATTTGTGCCCTTTTGAAAAGTCTGAAACTCAGTTTTAAGCATATTAATTATGGACTTGGAAATAGCAGTAAATATATCTTGAAAGATAGACCAGGCTTCATGTGCTGTCTTGAAACCAAGAACATGATCAATTGCATCACTAGTTAATGTGGCAATCAAGAAACTAAGAAGTGCCATATCAATTCATACCCATTCCTGACATGCAATAGTAAGTTCTTTTGTCACTCATGTTTCAATGTTAAGAATGAACTTGAGAGGACAAACAGAGGTACCATCAAAATGATCAAACAATTGATAACCCCTGAGAGCTGACCGAAATTGGTATGCTCATTTAGAATAATTGGCATCACCAAGTTTAATGGTTATCATTCCCAAAACACCTTTATTCTTGAACTAAAAGTAGCCATCTTATCCAACGTAAAGAAAATTCAATCTATGAATGAATCTTGCTATCAAACAATCAATACCATATGGCATCGGCCTTTTCAACAAATTGTGGCATTGGCCTTCAATTTTATCCCAAAAAAAAATAAGAAAAGAAAAAGAAAAGAAAGATTTGATCACATATAACCTTATATCACAAAATTCAATACGCAAGCACTAGTGTAGCATCGGCCTTCAAGCAAATCATACAACTGTACAAACTAGGGCAGAAAAACTGAAGAACACAACTGAATTAAAGAACCTAAAAACTACATATCTGAACCACCGCCATTGAAAAACTTTGAACATGAAGCAACCAAGAATCCTCAAAAAACACTTCATCAAGAAAATAGAAAAGCAAGAACACTGAATCGAAGAAAATTATGACCCCGCCGCCAAAAAATTACAGAAATCGCTCCGATCAAGAAATCCAAGAAATCTCAAAAGAAATAAAATTGAAAGATCATACCAAAGCACGAAAAAAGTGCTCTAATCAAGAACCCAGCAATTCCACAGTTGAATCGCCTGCTCTGGATACCATTAAAATAGTCATGGAATTAAGGTTTGTGAGTGAAAGAATTGCAAAAAGCAGAGAGTTGCAGAGATAAAAGAATAGCAACTGAAGGTTCCCATTTCTCATTAAAAGGTAATGAAATAGTACATTTTACTATCTATACTAGTTACAATATCATCCTTATCTGATAACTACCAAGCTTACAAAGTAAGCAACCTCTTATACTAATGACCATTGGCACTATCTCGATCGTACACTTAGCAATTCTGTTATAAGCCTCTGTTATTATGATGCCAAGACCAACAAATGAAATTAAACAAAAAGATACACGGGGCGATTATGCCAAGACCCACAAAGATAAAACGATTAACAAAAATGATAAAGGACAAGACGGAAAGTCATGTGCATGGGCAGAGGCTATAAAATTTGGAATCGTAAACCACCAGTATTAAGCATAAATCTCTACCCCAAATAAAGTTAAAGCATTTGCAACCTGATTTCCTTCTCTATAAATATGTGTACACATAAATCTCATATGACGAAGTCGCCAGAGACAATTCTTTCAATCCACCATAAGAAACCAAGAGACTGCATCAGAAGCCTTAAACCAACATGAAGACTGTTTCAATCCATGAATGATTTTCAACCATGAATGTTTTTCAATCTCTGACCCAAGCTATATGTACAACCTCAATGAAAGTAAGAACTTTTGCATCAACTGAATTTGCAAATGTTGCATTTGATGCAAAAGCGCTAAGCACCAAGCACCCCACCCTCCGATGAGAGAAAAAATCCCCTAAATCTAGCACATTCGTTGGCACAAAACCTATCGATATAATCTTGAGCCACTCAGTCATCAACAATCTCTAAATGCCTGGAATAAAGGATGGAGTCAGAATAGAAAACAGTGAGATACTTAATATTAAGAAAATAGGCAACACTAAAGAGGATAAGCTACCATTCGAAGAACACACTAGAGCTGAGTCAAGAAATTGAACCACTAGTCAACACCTAACATAACCAGGGAAGCATAATTGCCCCTCAAACCGAATTTGATTACCAAGAAACCAAATGCCCCATACAAAAGTAAAAGTTATCATAATCCAAAATTTTCAAGTAAAGCCATAAAAAGTTGTAAGAAAAGTTTTTCAAAAAAGTTGTAACGCTGATTGTACCACTAGATAGAGGTCACGAAAAAGCTCCAACAACCAAGACCAAAGAACCACAATCCCATAACATTCTAAAAAGATATGAGGGATAGACTCAACAACTGAATACAAAATGAACAACAAGAAATCTTCGAAACTCCCATATGTTGGAGAATCATATCAGTGAGGAGACAACCTTGTAAGACTTTCCAAACATTTAGCTTTTTCCTTGGTTGAATTCAATGAGACCAAATGGTTTTCCCCAAGGCACTTGGATTTCAAAGTTAAGTAAGTCAGAATAAGCCTCTTCAGCTGTAAGAATACTAGACAAAGAGCTAAACCAACATAAAGATGCCTTGAACGGAAAACGAATAGATGTAATTAAAGCAACTACTACAAGAAAAATAGTAATGAAATCCAGTGGCATTCTCTATGAGAATCGCATAAATGGTCGCTCACTGGGCTTTGATTGTATGAGCAAAAGCATTAATGATGTCAATATAGGAAATCAAAGTCCCGCCCAACCAATTATCAGACCAAAAAGAAACTTAAGAACCATCGCCCACAATCCAAGTCAAATGTGAAGAAATAATAAGGAGAACCTTTTAACACAAAAGGAACCAAAACTCTGTTCATGAAGCGAGAACACATAAAAATAACCACTAAAGAGAAATAATTCACCGTATCCCAACGATGCTTTAGCAATAAGCAATTTAGAACCACCAAATTCTTTAACCGTAAGCCACCAAGATGTTTTGGGTGTCAACAAATATGCCAAGAAATTAGAGGAGTATCACGAGAGTCCGGATACCTGACCAAAAAAAAATCCTTATCCAACATTGGACTTGATTTAAAAGAAGACAAGGCCAAGCGTACATTTGAAAACTATAAATCAAAATGCTTTAGATGACAGACATGATAAGCTGTAAACGACTTGCTTGAGAAAGCATAAGACCTTCTAAACCGAGAGTTTACATTTTACTTTATTCGCAATGTCTTGAAAGTAACTCCGCATAAGCCGGCCTTGGAAGACTGGAACACCCAAATATTTGGAGGGGAAAGAACCCACTTCAATGCCAAGAAGATTCTTGATAGATCTCTACCTTTATTTACCCAAGAACACCAAAAATTTGTTTTGTTGACTACATGGCCTGAGTTAAACCCATATTCCATAATTAATGTCATAAGGTGTATAAGATTTGCACGGATACCATGCAAAAATGTCAAATATTTGGACCAACTATGCTCCAACATGCAGCATAAAATAGCCATTGAAACCATCAAGGCCTGGAGAACTAGAAGGATCCAAACTTTCAATTGTTGTGTACACCTCATTTGGAGTAGCCGTTCTAAAGAAAGACATATTCTCTTCATTAGTTATCAAATTAGGAATTACTCTTTCAACTATCCCAGTATTCTGTATCGTCGTCTGAGGATAACAAAGTCTTGTAGTGTGTCACAATGTGATCTTATATGGAGACAGGATCATGCAATAGTTGGAAACCAACACGAATTGATGTCAAAGATTGATGAAGCTTTTTGAATTTCACTGTAGAGTGAAAAAAATTTGTATTCTTATCCCCAGAGATAACCAAAAAATTCAAGATATATCCTTCAAAAAAAATTCTTGTAACCTAAAAGCCTTATGTACATGCCCTTGGGATTGCGTTTCTTTGCAGATCTTTCATCAGATAGGCCAAGGGAAGCAATTTCCTCATGTATTACGTTCAAATCATGCAAAGAACTATCCACAACAGAGTTGACATCTCCAAAAGAAGACGAATTCCATACTCGAAGCTTACCTTTAAGAACTCGTAACTTAGCTGCTAGGGATGACATTGGATCGCCCAGAAAGTGGAGCACAGCCCATGTGTTCGAAACAAAAGGAATAAGCTTTGAGCTTTCTAACCACATTCTCTGAAATCGAAAAGGAACTCTTAGCACCATAGATACCCGGCTTAAAGACCAAAGAAGTGGGCAATGATTTGAACATATACGAGATAAATACTGCATTCGAAAAAAAACTATGAATTAACCCAATAAAAATTACCAACACGTCTATCCAAATGCATTCAACATTCCGTCATTGGTCTTTTGTTGGAAAGTGAAAGGGAGACCCTTTGTTGGAAAGTGAAGCAAACCACATGCAGTAAACATAGCTTGAAATTCCGAACAAGAAATATGACTAGGGAGAAAACCTCACCTATTTTCATGGGCACCCAAAACACGATTAAAATCTCCAAGTGCAATCCAAAGAGTGACCATGAGAAGAGGAGATCGATGGCCCTGAGTTCCTCCCCTAAAACTCGTCCGTCAGAATAAGTGGTTCTGGCATACACAAGGAAAAACACAAAAATCAGAATCTAAGGCATAAGAGATAGTCAGATATTGTGAAGAAGTCGAAATAACCTGCATAGACAAGTCTAAACACACAAAAGTCAAAGATTGGGCCCCAAGGGACCTTGATTATTAGCAGCCGCAGAGACTAAACGCAAAGAATGCCAAAAGAAATAATGATAAATAGCTGACAAAGCAATAAAAGGTTCTGAAATAAACACCACCGACGCATGATACCCACCAGTTTCATTAATACCCGATGAGTGGAAGCATTTCCTAAACCCCGAGCATTTCAATATATAATTTTCATTTATGTTTCTTGCTTATCACTTGCTTCCTGGTGGCTGGCTGCTACGGACTTAGTTGATTTTTTTATTGTTTTTTATAGATCTCTGCAATAAATTCTTAACTTTGGACGCTTTGAAACCAAAATGAAACCCTCTTCATCCGCAGAATAATCTGAGTTAACAGGGGATCCCCCGAAGACATGAACTTGAGGATCGAAAGGAATAATCTGCTTCCGAGCCTCCTCTATAGCATTCGTGATAATTTGTTTTTGAGCCAGCAACAATTTACCAACTTTATCATGTAATGGAAAAGAATCACCCTCAATCTAATTATTGTGCTTCAAAGAAGAGTCATCTAACACTTCTTTTCCTGTACTAATCACTTTCCACCGTATTCACCACCGGTTTTTTAGGATTTACTCGTTGGCAGCGAGAAGTTTGTGATTTGTACCGCCCATGCTTTTTGGATTTCTCAGATTTAGATAGCAGCATTTGAATTGTTTTCTATAACGCCAAATCCTTTTGGATAAATTATACAAAACTACCTCAATTATGTGTCGCATTACAATCTCATACATCATGTTTTAAATATTGCAATGTCATACCTTAATTTATGAATTCGTTGCAACGTCATACCTCCGTTAATTAATCTGTCAAATTGGACGTTAAGTAATGACGTGACAAATGCAGGGCCATATTTCACTGACGTGGCAGCCAACTCATGTCAATGGTCAAACAACTAATAAAAATATTTAATTATTAAAATTATTTTAATTCATTTATAATATTATTTTTTTAAAATAAAAAAACCAGCCCCACGGCCCTCAGGGCCTCACCCCTCCTATCTCATTCCTTCCCCAGAACCAACCACCATCCCACCCTCCTCTCTCTCGCCATGCCTGAACCCAGAACCACCATCCCACCCCTCTCTTTCTCCCTTTCACGCTACAACAGCGACCTCGTCGGCTCCGCCATCGTCAGCAAGCTCCAAACTCTAGGCTTCACGAATCTTATCCTCTACACGCACTCCGATCTCAACCTCACCCGCGAAGCCAACGTCAATTCCTTCTTAGCCCTCGCCACCACCAATGTCGACGGCATTCACGCCAATAACACGGATGCGGCGGATTTCATCGCCGTCAATCTCTAGATCTAAACCAACGTCATTGACAGCGGCTACCGACTCAGAGTCAAGAAGCTCCTGTTCCTTGGCTCCTCCTGCATTTACCCCAAATTTAGATAGCAACCTCCATTCTTGCTTGTTTGCTTAATTTGGTTTCTTTTTCTTTCTCTGATGTAAGTTACATGGCCTTTCTTTGATTTTCTTGGTTGAATTTGGTTTGGCCTTTTATATTAGCACCTCACAAAATATTGAACGTACCTCATATTAAATTTTAATACTAAATGATTTATGCATCCTACTATGCAATGACAATTTTGACCATATTATGTTTTTTTTAAAAAAAATTCTAAATACACCACAAATCACTTTTATTCTTTATCTTCATCAACTATCAAAATTCCTCCCACTCTTCATTTTTTTTAAGGAATTTTCATGAAAAGGGCTTGGGCTAAGTTTATTTTAACCAAAAACCATGCTATAACTTTATTTAATGTAAAAGAATTAAATTTTAATGAAAAACCCGTAAATTTTAATAAAATGACAAAAAACTTAAATTTTAATGAAAAAGACACAATTTATAAAAAATAAATAAAAATTAAGCGCGAGACTTGTACACTGTTTATGAAAATGAACACTATTTATGAAACTGAACACTATTTATGAAATTGAACGGTATTATACTATTTATTGGTCCAATTTCATAAATAGAGCCTAGTTTTTTGTCCACTTTTATAAATAGTGTCTAGTTCTTGGTCATATTTCATAAATAGTGCCTAGTTATTGGATCCAATTTCATAAATAATGTATAGTAATTGATATAGTTTTATAAATAGTATCTCTTTCTTGGTCCGGTTTTATAAATATTGTCTAGTTATTGGTCCACTTTCATAAATAACGCCTAATTCGTGGTCATGTTTCATGAATATGGTCTAGTTCTTACTCCAGTTTCATAAATAGTGTATATTCTAGTTTCATAAATAGTTTCCACCTATTGGTTTAGTTTTAGAAATAATGCCTAATTCTTATTTTCGTTTCATAAATAGTATTTACTTATTGGTCAAGTTTTATAAATAGTATCTAATTCTTGATTCAGTTTCATAAGGTTTGAAACTTATGTTGTTTATCCCCATTTTGTACTTGACCATCTCCTACGTTATCCCACTTTGTCACTCTTGTCAATTATGTCATTTACACCATGTGACGGTATTTTTTTAGGCGAATACTCTTACAACTAATTCATTGTTTCAGTGACACAATCGATGGTATAGATAATTGTTTGTTAAATAGTTATCACATAGTGTCACTGATTGCAAGAATAATCCCTTCTCTAATACAAATAACACATGTTATGGCACAAATATGCCATCACTTAACGTTCCGTCTTAATAAAATAAAGATATGTGAATAAAAATATACACATATATTTATCTTTTTGTCGTAAAACATCAGCTTAATGACGTATTCGTACTGTGTACACATAAATTTCTCCTCTTAACATGTCGATGTCCAATGCATAAAAAATCATAGCCAAAAATTGAAGCACCAAAACGAAAAACAAACAAAATTTTGTCTGCCATATAAGAAAAAACAAAGGCAATTTGCTGATGTGGTGTCTTCCAAGTTGGTTAAGAGTAGTTGGACCCACCACGACGTACCAAGTGGAAGTTGTTTGATGGAGTTTTGGGGGGTGTTCGTGGAAGTTGCCTGATGGAGTTTTTTGGGTGGTGGGGGGGCAGTGGTTGAGGGACGGGCGCTCAAGGCGATTTGGATTTTTTTATGTTTTTTTATTTTATTTTATGTCCTTATTATTAAATAAAGTTAGTGTATGATTTTTGATTAAATTGCAAAGATTTGAAGTCCTTTTCATTGGTTTCCTTTTCTTTTCTTTTTTTTATGGTTATTTTCAACTAGGTTTATCTAACAAAATAGAAAGTACAGAGCATTTAGGAAGCATGAATACTACAAATTGGATGAACACAAATATCCGATAGCTATAAAATTTGTTAGCAAACCAGAATTTTTCATATGAAAATTGCTTACAAATTGGTGAGAGCTTTTGGTTTCATTACACGGGCCAAATATTGCTTCGTAAGATACTACATCAAATAACAACTTAAAAGTTCACATGTATCAAAATCACCATCGAAAATTAATAGGCTACACAGGGAAGCCCTTGCTTGAACAACAGAGTAGAACGAAAAACAAAATCATAAGATGTTTAATTTCAAAGATGTTAGAGCGTGATTCAGGTGGTGAAGCGGAAAACTCGAGTCATAGTTCAATGAGCCAACTAAGCCGTTTAAAAATGAACAAAAAATAACAGAGTGGAACAAAAAACAAAATCATAAGACGTTTAAAAATGACTGTTACAAGATACAAAAAATGTGGGGTGTATAGAAAAGGTGGGGTGTATGGAGAAAATGTGAGGTGTATGTTGAGAATGTCGGGTATGAGGGTAATATGGGGAAGTATGTGGGGTGTATTAAAATAATTTTTAATTAAAAAAGTAAATGTATGGTGTATTAAGTATGTGAGGTTTATTCAACAATATGTTAGGTGTTAATATAATAAGCCATTTTTGCTTTGTTTGCTGTGTTGCCATTTATGATTCAAAAATTGGGTTTGATTCCTTTTGCAAAAATGGTGGTGATGGGTTCATGCGTGGCAAGAGAGAACTGAGGGGAAGGATGGGTTGGGTGGGGTGAGGGCCGTGAGGTTGA